CAGGGACCCGATGCATCACTATTTTTTTGGGTGTCCTTTATCCTCTAAATTATTATTATTAGGGGCTTTAAAAAAAGTTCTTCTTTTTTTTTAGGTCCATGGTATTAAAAATTTATAACACAAAGGACATCTAATATTTTCATGATGTCTATAGTCCCTCAATCTGAACTAGAGAAATTTCATCTAGAGAATTTCTCTAGACTTGCCAGAGAAATTTTATCTAGAGAAATTGTGGACCAGAGAAATTCTATCCAATCCAGATAAATTTCGCTGACCTTCCATTCTTTCCAGAGAAATTTTCCTTCTCTGGCCTTCAGAGAAATTTCACACTCTAGAGAAATTTTGGAAATTTCTCTGGCCTTCCTAGCTTTCCCTTCTCTCCAGAGAAATTTCCTTTCTCCAAACCTAGAGAAATTTCCCCAAACCAGAAAAATTCCCCTTCTCTAAACCTAGAGAAATTTCTCCTTACAATCTTTTTTGGTTGAACAATCATTAACAATCTATCAAATAAAGAAAAGATTACGAAACGCTTATCTTGGCCAAGAGTGAACTTAAACGGTGTTCCCTTATCACAACTCGAATCGAATTGAGTACTATCAAGTAAAGTCCCAGTGTAATTTTCTCTAGTATGTTTAATTTTATCTGTTATGTGTAATTTTCTCTGGTATGTATAATTTTCTCTGGTATGTTGCTTCTTTGTTTTCTCTGGCTAGTTGTGTGATTTTCTCTGCCATGCGTAATTTTCTCTGCTAGGTTGCTTCTTTGATTTTCTCTGTCATGTTGCTTCTTTAATTTTCTCTCCCATGTTACTTCTTTGATTTTCTCTGCCATGTTGCTTTTTTAATTTCTCTACTAGGTTGCTTCCTTGATTTTTTCTGCCGTGTTGCTTCTTTAATTTTCTCTGCCAGGTTGCTTCTCTGATTTTTTCTACCATGTTACTTCTTTAATTTTCTCTACCATATTGCTTCTTTAATTTTCTTTACCAGGGTGCTTCTCTGATTTTCTCTGCCATGTTGTTTCTTTAATTTTTTCTGCCATGTTGCTTCTTTGATTTTTTTCTACCATGTTGCTTCTTTAATTTTCTCTACCATGTTGCTTCTTTAATTTTCTCTACCAGGTTGCTTCTTTGATTTTCTCTGCCATGGTGCTTCTTTAATTTTCTTTGTCAGGTTGCTTCTTTAATTTTCTCTGTCATGTTACTTTTTTAATTTTCTCTGCCAAGTTGTTTCTTTAATTTTCTTTTCCATATTTCTTCTTTAAGTTTCTTTGCCATGTTTCTTCTTTAATTTTCTTTGCTAGGTTGCTTCTTTGATTTCCTCTACCACGCTGCTTCTTTAATTTTCTCTACCAGGTTGCTTCTTTGTTGCTTCTTTAATTTTTTCTGCCAAGTTGCTTCTTTGATTTTCTCTGCCATGTTGCTTCTTCAATTTTCTCTACGAGGTTGCTTCTTTAATTTTTTCTGCCAGGTTGCTTCTTTGATTTTCTCTGCCATGTTGCTTCTTTAATTTTCCCTGTCATGTTGCTTCTTTGATTTTATCTACTATGTTGCTTCTTTAATTTTCTCTGTCAGGTTGCTTCTTTGATTTTCTCTGCCATGCTGCTTCTTTAATTTTCTCTACCATGCTGCTTTTTTGATTTTCTTTGGAGGTGCATTTGATCCAAAACATTATATACAAACACACATCATAATTACACATGGCAGAGAAACATAACCACAGAGATACACAAGGATGTTTTCAAATTCAACATCTACACCACCCATTAAGCTCATCACTTGCTTCCCTGAACCATGATGCACAGGTAGTTGACTTATTTATTTGGCCAAACACAGCAAAACAAACAGTTGAGTGACCAAGATAAACTTAGAATTGATGGGGAAAAAATATTTATTATTTTCAAATAAGCATAGTAACTTAAGTTCAAATTAGAAAAATTCAACTTATGTGTCTCATTTCCGATTATGTGTTTGTGAATATGCCTTAATTGCGTCCTTCAAAATAACATCCTTCACAAACCCACCAAAAAGCTACCTTTCTGTATCAATAATTTAATGAAACAGCTCAAGATGAACAAACAAGCAAAAAGAAGAGAAAAATAGTTCATTTAATGTTTCAATTTCAACATAAAACATTGTTATGCCTAAAAAGAAATCGATCAATCTAGAAAAACATAGGAATAGAAATAAAATAGAAAGAGAATTGGAGAAAGTGACCGTGAGAAATACTGGAGTGAGCACAGAATCTACAATAACCGCAAGAGCTTCTATAACGGCCAACATCAACAACAAAGCTTTCGCTCTCTGTTGGTTCCACTGCTGCTGCTGCTAGCCTCGCTTCTGTATCGATCAATCTAGAGAACTTCTTTGGATTTCTCTGGACTTCCCAGAGAATATTTATTCTTGAATCTGAGTTTGTCACTGAAGTAGTCCATAGCAAAGCAAATAAAGTTTTTAATCAAATTTGGGTCAACTTTCAGGTTCTCACACTTTTCGAGTGTGTGTTTTCCAAGACAACCTTTCGATTCATTTCAAATTGGTAGAGTCAAAGTGATAATTAAAAAATTTGTTGTTGATTTTGATTCATATTGGGAGAGTCATAACTACTACAAACCTAAGCTTTGATTTCTAATCAACTCTTTAAAGCTCTACTATGATAACCAACACCTTGTCTCTCTCTCTCTCTCTCTCTCTCTCTCTATATATATATATATATATACACACACATATATCTATATATTCATGTATATATCTTCGTGAATTTCTAGGGCTTGTTTGACTACTGGTGTTGCCAATGAAAATTGATACTCAAAGCCTTTTGGACTACGATCTCAACTCCAAACCACTATTCACAAACGACTTTGTTTCTAAGAAATGGCATCATCGTTCACTTCCACCATTGGGTTGTCTTCTCGTCGCAGTACGCTTCTATTCCGATATCGGTAAAATCATACATGGATAAGGATGCTTTGAGCTTCGCTTGACGGAGAAGAGAGAGTTGGAGAAGACGACAACGATGATGAACTCCGGCGGAATCCAAAGCGGCCATTGAAGGGAGTGAAGTGAGGTTTAGATTTAGAGAGAGAGAGAGAGTGTGTGTGTGTGTCAAATTGAGAGACTTTAGACATCATAAAATAATATTGTGGATCTTATACATTACTAAAAGTAAGAGAGTGACTTTAGACTAATTTTTCCTAAAAACAATTATAGTAATGATGCATTTGGATATAAATAAAATCATATTTTAAAATTTTAGTTCATAATTTTGACTTAATTAAATTTTAATTAATATAATACTTAACCATACTTATTCTAATCAATTTAACATTATTATAGTCGGGCCTTATTTAAGAAGTAACTAAATTAGTAAAAAATTAAAAGATTATTATAAAAGATTAATTTCTCTATTTTTAAAAAAAATTATAAAACAAATTAAAAAATTAATTCTTAAACGAACCGTTAATTCTAGACTTGTAGGAGTTAACATATATTCTTCAAAGAGACTTGCGTAATTTACCCATTTTATATTTATTTTTTATTTTTTTCACGGTAAATCATACATGGCTTTGTTTGTAAATTTTCACATATTTTCCTTGTCATTTTCGTCATGGGCCTCTGATATATCCGCGTCATTTTCGTCCTTGTCATTTTTGTCCTGGGGCTCTGATATTATCCGCGCCGAAAGCCAAGTAGTTGTAGGTCTATTTTAATTTACTAATTTATTTAAATCATATTATTTTTTTATTTTTTTATTTTTTATATATATTTAAAAAAAAAATAAAACAAATTAAAAATTTATATTTATATTTTTTTTACTTTTCAAAATAAGTGGCAATAATTTTCAACTTTTCAATTCGTTAATAAAATTTTAAAGTCCGAATATAGAAATCAATCTCCGCCTTCATTTGAAAAGTAAATTACTTTTTCACTTTTTAATTTTTTTTGATATTTTAATTTGGGTCAAAAAATTTGATTTGGAAAGCACTTTTTAATTATTTGACTTTTTGATTTTTTTTATGAGAGAAGAGTATAATGATTATAAATTGAATATGATATTTTATTTGTTATAATTAAAATAATCTATTTTATCTTTTACTGCTAAAATAACACAAACTAAATTGTCAAACAGAGCTTGAGTCAATTCCGAGTTCACAACTTCGACATCATATTTGTAAACAATTTAAAATTAATTAAAAATTAATAATAATAATTAAGAATTGAAATAAATAAAAAGAAAACAGAGCAAGAAACGTAAACGAAACGTACCTTACACGAAATGCAACGCAAATATACAAGTATACGACAAACATATACGATAACTGCAAAACGTGAAAATTAATCGCTGCGAACAGATGGAACGGATCGAATCATCCTATGGCTTCACAAACCAAATACCAATTCTTCAACAAATCTTAGCCTCCGTTTGGCAAGTTAGGTTAGGAATTTATTTTATTTATGTTAATGTAAATGTAAATTACTACTACACCTACCACCAAACCTACCTCCACCTACTACTCCTATCACCTACTACACTCCACCAAACCTACCTCCACCACTCACTCCTCACCTACTCCAGAATCATCTCCTATATAATAGGAATTCTTGTACAAAATGTATACACAACAATCAAAACATCAATAATAATATACATCTCAATTTATTATTTTACAATTTATTTATCTTATTTTATTTTTTTATTTTTAACTATTTTAATTATAAAAGACAAAATAAATTATTTTAATCACAAAAAATAAAACGTTACATCTAATCTATAATCATTACATTCTTCTTTAAAAAAAAATCAAAAAAATAAAAAAATTCTTCCCAAAATAAACTTTTTAATCCAAGTTAAAATAATCAAAAAAACAAAAAAAAAAAAAACAAAAAAGTCAAAAAGCCAACACCCTCCCCAAACCAACCCTTAATTAATTATGAACAACTCACCACCATAATTAGATCTTAATCTTGATTTTAAGCTCGCAATTCTCAGTATTAGTTTGAATTGAAATGCAATTGTCCAAAACTTTCCTTCATTTCCAATCATCAGCTGCAGCAAATTATATATGTACAAGGGGTTCGAATCTCTGTGGTACAAACAATCCATCCGAAATCGCCAGATACTAGCCGGAATCATCGCTGGAAACCTGCAAGTCTCAGAAATCATAGCCTGTGGACACGATCGAGAGCCGACTGTGCCTAGGTTGAAAATCAGCTCTCCGCCTCTGCTGATGCGAGGAAGGCCGAATAAGTTGCGCCAAAGCTCGCTTCACCAAGTCACCTTCCACGGTTCCAATCCGCACAAGCGAGTTCGCCATCACCGATCTGCGAGCGTTCAACCGGTTCGGCGAGTACGAAATCGACTGTCCAGAATCACAATTCTTGTGCAGACTACACCGAAACGAGCCAGGATGCGTCGAAGGCGAGCACGTACACGTCTTCTTCCGGATTGGATTGTAGTTCGGCTTCCGGAAGACATGATCTCGAGGCGAGACCGCCATCGAACGGCTGGGAGACCTCGATCTACTACTACCAATCGAGAACCGCACAGAGGAGGACGCCAGACCATGGAGTTTCACGCGCGTCGGTGAGGAAGACCTGTGGAAGACATGACCTGGATCTATCAATGACGACGGAGTATCGGACGGTGACGAAGAATCAAATCGACTCGACGGTGAGATTACTGATGCCATCGGTAGAACTGGTCCACTGGATCTTCTAGACGAGTTCGCCATTGTTGTACAATAGAAAAACTAGAGAGAGAGAGAGTGAGAGAAAGAGAGAGAACTTTTTTTTGTACTTTTTGTTTTTTAGGCCCTGAGGCTCTTCAGTTGGGCAAACCTAGCTTCCTTCAAAGGCTCCATTTTATAGATCAGGGAGGATTGGGCGAGTGGTAATATTTGGGATGTTTGGGGGTAACTGTTTGAAGGATTATTCTGTGGGCCAACTGGGTTGATGGGTTAACCAGAGGTGGGTTAGGTGTTGGATTCTGATCTGACGGTTGAAAAGTAACGGTCCTGCACAAAATGACGAATCTTGAGCCGTTTTGGTTAACTGTTCTTCTGGACTACTGGAGGGCTTGCCACGTATCAATAAAGATTCGGTAAATGACCATGAATTTAATTCAAAATACGAAAATGCCAATTGAATAAGGGTTTTATTTTTATTTTTATTTTTATTAAAACACCTCTATCAATGTTTTGATTTATGTAATGTTTGGGATAATTTGAAATGTCTTAAATAAATGTGTTTTTTGACTTTTTATAAAAAGATATATAGAGAATTAGAGAGAAGATATTGATTGATGTAATTCAAAAAAGATAAAAAAATAAAAAGATAAACTAAAATAGACTATGCCAAGCAAGGTTTTAATTTTATTTTTATTAGTATTCGTTAATTAGGTGAATAGAAAAATAGTGTTGTCATTTATTTTATAATAATGTATTTTTTTAATTTTATTTTTCTTTTGTATTGTATTAAATTTTGGGATATATTATTAATATTTAAATTCTCTCAAATCCTATTGAAAATAAGTTCAAGTAAAATCGTTACTAAAAATATTTTTTTGTGATATTTTTTACATATATCTCTAAAAATTGACAATTAGTGACTTTTTTGTCACGATTTTTATAATTTGTAACTAAAATTTAGAATTAATGACATTTTTCTATGACGATTTTTTCAAATTGTTACTGAAAATTAAAAATTAATGATTTTTTTGTGACAATTTTTTTAAACTATTGCTAAAATTTATAATTAGTGATATTTTTGTAATAATTTTTTTAAATTATTGTTGAAAAATAATAATTAGTGACATTTTTAATAGTATTTTCTGAAAAACGCTATTAATTTTCACAAGACCTATTGGACAATAAGTTCATCTATTAAGACCTATACGTAAATCCCTCTAATTTTTGATTCATTTAACAATTACTAAAAAGGAGATTAGAGTAATTATATCAAAATTATAATTTTTTTTTTTAAATGTCAATATAAAATCACAAGAGATCAGGCCGACCCTGGGCATAGGTCCGCCAGATCATGGCTTAGGGGCCCTTATAATAGATCAAAAAAATGGCTCTCTCTTATTATAGTTTAGTGTAATATATTAAATATGTTTTAAATCCAAAATAAATTAAGGAAGACCCAAACTAATTTAAAATAAGTTGACCCATTAAAAATTTAAAAGGCTTATTCAAAAAAAGTCAATAAACCAATTGAAGTGCTCAATCATCTACAGTTAATGGCAAATTGTTTTCTCAAATTTATGGGTTACTTATAGGATACTTTTGACTATTCCGATTATAGTTGCATCGGGGGAAATAAGTTTTTCAAGTTGAAAATGATCAAAAATTACCTTTGATCAATCATGTCACAAGAAAGATTGAATGTATTAGCATTGTTATTCATTGAAAATGATTTTGCAAAAAAACTAGATTATGTAAGTATGATTGATTTATTTGCTTCTAAAAATGTAAGAAGAGTAAGGAGCAAGTGATACTTATTAGTTGTTGTAATGTAATGCTAATTATTTTTTGTAATTTTGACACAATTTTTTTTGTCATTTACCTTAAAAAAATCCATTGAATGAAAAAAAAAAAATGTGAAGGGCCCCAAATGATCTAATGATATTTATTAATTAATTATTGACTTTGAGTCCCGAAAATCTCAGAACTGCAAGAGATCAAAACTAAGTCATAACTAAAATTACAATTAAAATAAATATATCATAGCTAAGTCATTGTAGCACAATGAATATGGGTTCATTTAGAATATGGGTTAATTTTTTTGTTTTTTTGACTATTTTAATTTGGAATTAAATAGTTTCATTTGAGATAAATTTTTTATATTTTTTAACTTTTATAAAAAAATATAAAATAATTATAATTTAAATTTAATATTTTATTTTATTAATTTTTTAATTTATTTTATCTTTTTATAATTATTTTAGCCTCGCACCCTTGTCCAATCGAGTTGATATACACATCCTCAACTTTGTTTTGATTTGATTTCAATAGATTATCATGAGGCAATATGAACTTATGTGCTTAGGCCTTTCTATGGGGTCGTATGTACCAAAAGTAGGCTTGTCCTAGTAATGTGCAATGGTTGGGAATTCCAATAAAAAGGACAATACAAGATATATTCAGTGTGTTTTGTTTGAATTTTTTGAATTAAATTTTTTAAAAATTAAATTTTTTAGTTTTTATATTTTTTTGTTTTTAGTAAATATTTTTTAAATTTTAAATATTTTTTTTACTTTTTAATGCACCTTACTTTAGTTCAATTTTTCAAACACATACTTTCTGATATCCGATCAACTTGATTTTTTACAGGTATGATATACTGAATAAATCATAAAATATCGGTTCGAATTATCAAAATTGGGCCTAAAAATAGACCCAAAAATCTGCAAGGACGGACGCAAGTACAAACTTGCAAGGAGAGGCTCTTGACTCCTTTCTATGGGGTCGTATGTACCAAAAGTAGGCTTGTCCTAGTAATGTGCAATGGTTGGGAATTCCAATAAAAAGGACAATACAAGATATATTCAGTGTGTTTTGTTTGAATTTTTTGAATTAAATTTTTTAAAAATTAAATTTTTTAGTTTTTATATTTTTTTGTTTTTAGTAAATATTTTTTAAATTTTAAATATTTTTTTTACTTTTTAATGCACCTTACTTAGATGTGTCTAAAAAGTAAAAAAATTGTGAAAAAATATTTTAAAAAATTAATAAATACATAAAAATACAAAAAATATATTGAATTCTCGTATTTTTTTATATTTTGGGTATTTAGTGAATTTTTAAAAAGTTTTCTTCACAAATTTTTTACTTTTTAAATATATCTAAGTTAGAGATGTCTAAAAATTTTAAAAATTATTTAAAATATTAAAAAAAATCAGTAAAAATAAAAAAATATGAAAAATATAAAAATAAAATTTTGTGAAAAATGTTTTTTAAAAAGTGAACCAACCATAGTGATTAATGTCATAAAACAATGAAAATTAACAGCTGTAAGAATGATAGTGATTGCAAATATGTTTTGGGGTCACTTTTTCTATGGTTCATTTCTCCTTTTTTGACATGACTTTCAAGTTACAAACTTTGAATTTTTTCTTGTTGATTCTTCGCATTTTTGCATCACTAAAACTTACTTTTGTAATTGTCCGCAATAGGGCTGGAAAGTATTGTTGGTGTGCGATTGGTCTTATTCAAATAATCAAAATTATTTAATATATAAAATTCATTAAATATATTGCGATGGGGGTCACATTTGCTGGGAATCCGGCGCATTTCTGTTTTTCTTGTTGATTCTTCGCATTTTTGCATCACTAAAACTTACTTTTGTAATTGTCCGCAATAGGGCTGGAAAGTATTGTTGGTGCGCGATTGGTCTTATTTAAATAATCAAAATTATTTAATATCTAAAAGGAAAATTTACCCATAAGTCTTAGTTTTTAAAACGTTGAATCATTTAGTCTTAAAAGTTTTTTTATGCTCTATTTAGTCCCATTTTTACATCAACATGATGTGAATGATGTAAATGATCTGATGTTTCATTCTATAATTTCAAAATTTATTGAAATCTGATGAACATTAGATGTTTTTCATCCTATATTTTCAAACATTATTGAAATTTGATGAACATTAGATGTTTGAAATCCAATGTTTGTAACATGACTCTGATATTATTAACATTGTATCTGATGTTATTAACATTGTAATGGGACCTTTCAGTCTATAAGAAAACTTTTAGGACTAAACAGTGCATAAGTTATTAATTTGGGATTTATAGATGTTTAATATTATGTATAGACTAAAAATACCATTATAATCAGTTTGTTTGGTTTCAGTTTTTTTAATTCAGTTTTTTAAAAATTAAGTTTTTTTATTTTTGCATAGTTTTTTGATTTTAGTAAATATTTTTAAAATTTTAAGTAATTTTTTTACTTTTTTAGATCCACCTTATTTAGATGTATCTAAATAATAAAATATTTGTGAAAAAATATTTTAAGAAATTAATAAATACACAAAAATATGAAAAATGTGCTGAATTTATATATATATATATATATATATATATATATGTATATATATATTTTTTGTATTTTTGGTATTTAGTGGATTGTTTAAAGATTTTTTTTACAAATATTATACATTCTAAGTGTATTTATGTTAGGTGTGTCTAAAAATTAAAAAAAAATGCTTAAAATATTTAAAAAAATAGTGAAAGCAAAAAATAGAGAAAACAAAAAAGTAAAATTTTTTGAAAAATAAATTATGAAATCTAAAAACAAACAGAGTGAATAGTTGGCATTATATACACAAACTAAGTTATTTTGATAAATTTAGGTCTAGTTTGAGAATAAAAGTCATTAAAAAAAGTCAAAAAGCTAACAAATTATAGAAAAAAGTCAAAAATTTTATTTTTTATCTATTTTTTCATATCTTTTTTGTAAAAAATCAAATATTCATTTCAAACATACTAATTTTTTTTTACCGAATATTTCATTCAAAAAATCAAAAAAATACTAAAATAACCTATTCCTAAACGATACCTTAATCTCAACCAATTAATGTTTACTACAATAATACATAAACAAACACATTTATCTTATATCTTCAACTTAATAATCATACATTCTTCATAATCTCATCCAATCTAATATAACAAACAAACACGGGTAATGTGCATTCACTATTAAAGTAAACCACAGTTTCCTAAGTAACCTTATCCTCTTCAACAATAGTAGCCTTAACCCCTTCAACACCTTGACCATGTGCAGGCTGGTGCTGTTTGGTATAAACACGGTGTCGTCGCTCTCTCCCATACACAACCCAGAAAATCAGAGACAACATAACTGCAACAGAAACCATCACCAGCCCAATATAGATCCACTCGCTGTATCGCTGCAAGGCGGGGCAATGACTGCTATAAAGGTTGCTAAAAGTTTGTCGCACGAAAACGCAGTCTTGTAGTTCAACTAGGAATGGACCGTAATGATACAATCCATAGCTCACATTCACATCGGCAGCCATTTGGTTGTAGGTTGTGGGGGTCAGCCGGCCTGTTGTGATGCAATTACCGGTACTTGGTGAAACCTTACATACATAGTTTTCCCATACCTGCAAGATATATGAAGGATAGAGTGTGAGTTTTTCATTAAGTTTTGGGAAAAGAAAGATTTGGAGAACATAGTAAAAGATTTGTTTGATAAATCTCAGGAAATAAGACACTAATCTTTTCATTAGTTCACACCATTTTGTTTGTTTTTTGTTCTGTAGTTTATATCTAAATGGATAAAATGATGTGAACTGAAAATTTTCGTAATGTGCAAATAGAAGCTCTTCATTTCTTAAACAAGATGGTGATTGGGATCGACCCTAAGCATAAGGATGAGATTTTCAAATTTTGACTCGAAAAAAGGAGCCCAATCCTCACCAAACCCAAAAATAAAACTATCCTCAACCAAATGAAGACCCTTAATTCATATTCAAAATTTAAAGGACCCTTCTGTTTAGTTGGATTTATGGTCCAAAAAACTCACAAATGCCCTGGATGATCACTACAGTTTTTGAATATTGTAATCCTATTTGTTGCTTTTTACCTGAGTTGCATTGCTCAAATCGACTTCACCAGCAGAGCAAGAACGATCAGTGAAGTCAGAATTGAAGGGATTGCAGAGTGTAGGGAGCAAAGGACCAGACTGATTGAAGTAGAAAGGTGGAAAGTTGGGAGAGAAGTTGATGTTGGAGACATTGGTAATGACTTGGTTAACCACTTCCACTAGTTGAGAAGTCACTTCCTTTGTTCTCATCAATGTTTCCTGTGCTGTTGCATTGTCCACACATGGCAGTATATCATCTAATGCTGTTTGTGCTGTTGGGTTTTCTACCCATTCATTCATTGCTACACATGTGTCTGCAGCCACACTGATATATATGTCAAGCAAAAAAAAAACACAAATAAGTTCTCTTACATGCACAGAATCATAAAATCAGACCCAACTTTCTCAAATGAAATGTGTCTCACCAAATGTGTGAGGTTGTTTTTTAACCAATTAACAGGATTTTTAGCTGAGAATCCTAAAACTAAACAAAAATGCTAGAGACGTCAAAAATTATACCAAAAGTTCTACCAAATGTTTCACATGGGTGTGAGACCCATATAAGACTCACATTGTGTGGGTCTCACATCCATGTGAGACATTTAGTAAAATTTTTGGGGTCTTTAGCATTACTAATGGGTAGCCCAATATACGAGAATTCTGCTGCCGCTATAGGACATAGGAAAGGTTGGATATATGCAGTCTTACTCTGAACACAGAGAGACTGTTTATGTGTTTCAAATCAACAAGAAGCAACCAAATATGGTGCATTCACTTTTGTGTTAATTGTGTCAAAACTAAGATTTATACCCAACCTATTTCTATTTTAAGAGCATCTTCAACTGATACTTAAAAATAAATTTTAACAGATGGTACTTACTTATGTAGAAGAAGAAATATGCCACACAAAATAAATGTTCCTGTAACGAGTATCCATCCGATGATCACCAATCTGCAAACAATCAAATTCAAAAGCATTCCTTCAGTGAAATTCATATGTACAAATTAACTAAACCAGAAAAACAATAAAACAGTTAAGATAATTTTAAGAGGAAATTGAGTTTATATATAAAAAGACCATTTTCAAACTCACATGTTCACGAGAAACTGCATGCCAAAAATTGAGAATACTGATCACAGAAAATAAAATTAATAAATAATGCATGTAGGAATACTAAGACATTCTTAAAAGGTTTAGAGAGATTGACATTTTTTTTTAGCATCTGATTAAAGGGAATCAAAAAGGGGCTCACTGAATCCAAGAAATGTCAAGCCAAGCATAACCGCGGCAATTATGATAAGAGCCAATCTCCTGCCAAAAAAACAAACAAATAAAATAATGATTAGTGAGGGATAATTACAATTAACACTCATCAACTTTCACCAAAATCTCTAGTAGTTTCTCTTCTTTCAACTGTGAAAATTAAATCCTGAAATTTTGAATGAAGTTGTAATCTGCAGGGTCCAAAGTGACATTTTGAGTATAGGGATGTTAAAGAGGTAAGAAAAATGACACGTGTGACCCACGTACCAATTTTTGTCACCCTTATTAACGCCACATAGATAAAACGGAGACATTGCAATTTAACTTAAAGTGTCAGTTGATGTTCCAATTCAGAATAGAGTGACTAAAATGAGATTTTGATAAAAGTGAAAGGGTGCTAAGTAAAATTAACCCTAATACTAATATTTTCACTTTAGGACCAAAAAAAATCAAATGAGTAGCCCTGATTCATTCTAAAAATGGTTTCCACATTAATTTTTCTGTTCGCGTAATATTACTATAAAGTAAAATCAAAGAACAGATGATGTAGAAAAGAAAGGTTTAAAATTCTTGATTACACAGAATCCAACAGATCTTGTATGTCTTTTGAATTACTGGAAGCTCTCTCAGCAAGGTTGCTAGCAGAAGAGTTCAGCTTGCTTTCAATCCCATCAATGTCTGTTTGGACACTAGAAGGTAGAAACACTTTATCCACCCCAACTTGCTTGGCTGCAGCAAGATATTCTGAAACATTTTTGAGTTTGTCCACAGTAATATCTGCCTGGTTTACTACATATTTCAATGTTTCTGTTGTGGTATCATGAAACTTCCCTTGATTGGTGTACAAAACAACACATCCAACTCTGAAACCACAACATAAGTAATAAAGCATTAGCTTCCTCAGAAAGGATCAAGTTAAATAGTCCGAGCATCAAGATTGTGACACATCAACATTTTAAAGCAAACAAAAGTCTATATTTAGCATAAATTATCGCATAGTTTTGGAACTCCACGTAGTTGTGTGTCTGTCCAATGATATTTTGTTATTTGTTTATCATATTTCTTGTTTTTGGAACACATAAATATTTAGCCCTACCTGATCGGGCACACAACTAGGATGGTAGATCCAGCTTACTAGATAATTTCTCTAGATTTAAGCCATTTTTTGGTTTTTGTTTAAAAAGCCACTTTGTGCATGTTTAAGCAATAAATAAATAAATAAAATTTTTGTAATTTGGTTTTGGTTGATTTTAGTGACAAGAAGAAGAAGAAAACAAAAGAAACCATTTTTTTAACAAAACTCATCCTATTTATAAACTGCTAAAAAAATTAAATGTTTTCAAACTTTTTGTCTTTAATAAATTATTTATGTGTTTTTACTTTTCCGGTCCTTCTAATTTAGAAAAATCAAAAGAGTAAGAAAAATTCACTACAAAAGAAAAAAAATTCTAAGGGCCAATTTGGGAACTTGGCTCAAAGCCAAAAACCTATTTTGCGTCACATCTCCTCTCTACTTTTTTTACACTTTTTTTTAGAAAAACCAAAACAAACCAAAATATTAAGTTTTAACTAACTTCTCAAAATAATCTTAAACCCGACTGAATTAACTTTTTCAACATTTGTCAAGCGTGCAAGTCTTTTTAACAACAATTTTATCCTTACAAAATAAAATTATTAAAACAATATTTGTGAAACCCGTTCTTAACATACATCCACTCAATGCCTAGTATTGGGTTGGTACAAATTGACCCGAAAGATGTTGGTGAGTGTGAATACATGACATGAGCTTTTTTGCTACAAAATGTTGTCGTGTCAAAATTAGTGTCTGAACTGCTCGATTCTATTCAAACACGAATGGAAAACAAATCGAATGTCTAAACAAAATAAAAATGATTGGTAATTCGAATTTGAGTTTGTCTAAAAGTCCGAATTTGTGCTTGCTGATCAACCATTCGGACGACTACTTGGATGACCAATGTAACACTTATCTACCGCAATTATCATCTTTATCGATTGCGGCTGTCATCTTCTTGCCAAATGACTAGCAAGGCAAAATCGGACGATTCAAACAAGCTAAAATTCGGATGATGTAGCATAGAGTAGAGGGGGAGAGAAGTATGTACATTGCAACAGTGGTAAAGATTATGAGGAAAACAAGAGAGAGAACATAAGCTGCTCTAGAATAGCCATAAGGCTCTTCCCTTCTACAGCAGAAATGGCAGAGACAGATGAGAGATAAGCTCAGTCCAAACACCACAAACCAGACCGTTGCAATCATAAAGAAGGGAACAGCAGTGAATGCCACTGACTACAATGTTTAAGGCGAAAAAAAGCACACAAGTTAGCTATCAATCAGTATATGAAATGAACAATAAATTTAGAAATATACAAACAAACATAGAAAACGCATGAATTGACATAATTTTACAAGATTTGCTAATGTAGTCTAATTTTGAAATTTTTTGCCTATCAATTACTTTTGAATAAATTACGCTAACACCCTCTTGAATTGTTTGAAATCACACTGTCACCCCTCTTATTCTCTGAAATATTACTTACGTCTCTTACTTTAGAAAATGTTGTAACAAATAGCCCCACCTCTCTTTGTCTCTTCTCCAAACCCAGCTTCGCAATCATCACCATTAAAGCCACCCAACAGAACCACCAACCACTACAGTCCACCATCGCATTCTACTCCTACATCCTTCTAACTAAATTGTGATTTTCCAGAACAAAGCATATATATCTTTAAATCGCTGATTTGGGGTAAAGAAATTTAGGATTCGTTTGGAATGTGGGTTGATTTTTTGGCTTTTTAGTTAGGTGTCCACATGTGAAATTATCCAAATGCCCTTGGGGTGAAGGCGTTCCCCCAACCTATTGGCGAGTGTCGGGCGGGTGGGTTGAGCTGACACGTCAGCCGATTAATTTGGTTTTTTTTTTTTTAAATTTTTTTTGTTTTGTTTTGTTTAGCATGCTTTTTTATGTTTTTTTTATTATTATTATTATTATGGGGAAAACGATAATTTCGGCCTTTTTTAAAAAAAAAGAAAAAGGCAATCATTTCAAAATATTTTTGTCAATGATTGTAACCATTTGTTAAAACATTTTTTTTTTTTGTTAAAGTTTTTTGTAAAAATGATTTGGAAAATTACTTTTTCTCTCCTTTACCCAATTTGTTAAACAAAAAATGGTACAAATCATACTCTTACCTTTTACCCAAAATTCAGTTGACAACCACTTATTACGTGCCCATTTTAATTTTTTTAATTTTTCTATCACAGTCGTCAAATCATAATATCGTGGTTTGCCACTGTGCTATCCTGCTTAATTATTACACGTACGTAACAAAATTTGTCATTCTCCAACCCAATAATTTTACAAAATAAGGCACGTAAATCATTCAAATTTCAATTTTCCGTGTACACACATACATATTGTACAAGATAATATAATTACATACATCCCAACCGTGGCTTAATAATGCTACAAGCATATGAATATTTTAGTTGAATATTATATGTTTCCTAATATTCCGTTATTACGCATGTACACTAACTTGTCCCGTATGCGAACTCGCACCAATGCCATATGCAGGTTCTCATCCCTAACCATTAAACTATTCTCGTCATGTGGAACTTCCGGTATGGCATTTACTATTGCGATAGCCTCTTCCTCGTTGAAGATGGGGTTAACAGTTGTTGGATTGCCTGTATTTCTACGTATATAATTATGTAACGACATTGATGCACCTACCAACTGAACTTGCACATTTGCAAAATCATACCAAGGCATATTTTGAATAAACCCCCATCGATTTTTCCCCATGCGCCGAAAGTGCATTCCACCACACTCTGTAACGACGAGTACACTTTGTTTGGTGGTAATGGCTGCTTTTGAATAGTGCTGAGTAATCTATCCGATTCGGATAGCCACCATCGACAAGATAATATTTCTCTACAGAAAGTATCAGAATTTCAAAAAAACCACCAAATTTTGTTTAATTTTTTGTAAAGATGTTTCCCCAAATATTATATACTGAAAAAATTGAAATGCAATGTGTTACCTTCTTTAGAATGTAGAAAAGGGACTATTGTTCATACTTCTTTCCCATCCAAGCAATACGAAGGTGAAACATATGTCAAACATATGTCAAAATCGCACGCAGCCATGATATTTTGGGTGTGGCAGCATTTCCTACCGAAATATGTTAGGGCATTTGGCCCCGTAACCTGCGTAGTAACATGTATTCCATCAATGGCTCCGACACAATCCTGCCAACAACCCCGTTATCTTACCACTAGAGGAACATGTAATGGTTATTTTCACTCGTCACGTCAAAATAATTTCTAAGCATTGAAACAAACTTAACTGAGTAAGGTTTGAAAATAGTACCTTAAAAGATAGGTATTTTTGTTTGGACCGCACGTAGATATATATGATATTGACTATATGTTGGCCTACAATGTGTAACAATGAACTCCTTCATCACCACTAATACATTATGCACGTGCCGGGACACAGTCTCCCTCGAATGTTGGAACCATTCTTGGATTTCGCTATTATGAAATCCTCTCAACACGTGGATAAACATTGCAACGCTTTGTTGAATAGCTAAGCCATGTTTACATTGCGATACTTGTAACCCGAAATTAGTTACTAATGTGTGACACAAAGACGAAAAAACTTCCTTCAGCATGCACACATTTTCCTCAAATCGACCCACATGGTCCGCATATATTTCCGTTATCCATGCATGTCCGGTTAAAATAGAAGTGCGATATGGCATCTTACACATGTATTTTTTGTACCACTCTTGGACATACCGGCATACTTGGAGAATGTCCAGTTATTTTGTTGTTGAAGTTGTATGGCCATTTGGTTAAGCATTTCCATTACACCGTCATTGTCGCTTCCATCCCCGGTATTCATCATGTCGATTTAAGTAACATCTACAAAATAGGCTAAATTAGCCACAAGAGACCAAACACCAGGGACGCGATGGATACAAAACAAAAACAAAAAAAATTCTAGTACCTAACGATCGGTGGTGTTGAGGATGCGATGGACGCAGTGTTGCCGCCAATGTGCACTCCAGTGGCCTTGGGCTATAGAGAGTTTTGCTATTCTTCTTCGCCATTCAGCGTCATGTTTTTGCCTCCTTCCTTCGGCGTCTGTCGGTGCCATAGGTGATAGAGTGTTGTGTGGTTTGAAGTGGTGCTGGTGTGATACAGAGGCACTGGGGGGTAGTTTGGTAAATTCCACCGACGCTGAATTGTTTCCCAGCACGTGAATGTGTTTTGTCTCTTGTGGCTAATTTAGTCTATTTTGTAAGTGTTGCTTAAATCAACGTGATGAACACCGGGAATGGAAGCAACTATAACGGTGGAATGGAAATGCTTAACCAAATGGCCATACGGCTTCAACAACAAAATAACTGGACATTCCTCCAAGCATGCTGGTATGTCCAAGAGTGGTATGAAAAACACGTGTAAAACGCCATGTCGCACTTCTATTTTGACCTGACATGCATGGGTAACTGAACTATATAAGGGCCATGTAGGTCGATTTGAGGAAAATATGTGCATGCCGAAGAAAGTTTTTGCGTCTTTGTGTCATACGTTAGTAACTGATTTCGGGTTACAAGTACTGCAACGTGAACATGGATTAGTTGTTCAAGAAAGTGTTGCAATGTTTATCCACGTGTTGAGAGGATTTCATAATAGCGAAATCCAAGAACGGTTCCAACATTCGAGGGAGACTGTGTCCTGACACGTGCATAATGTATTAGCGGTGATGAAGGAGTTCATTGTTACACATTGTAGGCCAACATATAGTCAGCATCATATACATCCATATGTGCGGTCCAAACGGAAATACCTTCCTTTCAAGGTACTATTTTTAAACCTCACTCAGTTAAGTTTGTTTCAATGTTTAGAAATTATTTTGACGTGACGTGTGAAAAATAATTACATGTACCCCTAGTAGTAAGATAACTGAGTTGTTGGCAAGACTGTATCGGAGCCATTGATGGAACACATGTTACTGCGCGGGTTACGGGGCTAGATGCCCCAACATATTTTGGTAAGAAACACTGTCACACCCAAAATATCATTGTCGCGTGCAATTTTGACATGTGTTTCACCTTTGTATCGCTTGGATGGAAAGGAAGTATACACGATAGTCGCATCTTTAATGAGAGAATAACAAATGACAATGTCCCTTTTTCACATCCTGAAGAAGGTAACACATTGCATTTCAATTTTTTCAGTACATAATATTTAGGAAAACATCTTTACAAAAAATTAAACAAAACTTGGTGGTTTGTTTGAAATTCTGGTACTTTCTAGAGGAAAATATTATCTTGTTGATGGCAGTTATCCGAACTGGATAGGTTACCTAGCACCATTCAAAGGCAGCCGTTACCACCAATAAGAATTCCGCGTTACTGAAAGACATAGGACAACAAACACCCCCAGGGAATTATTTAACAAAGTGCACTCGTCGTTACGGAATGTAGTGGAATGCACTTTCGGCGCATGGACAAATTGATGGGGGGTTTATTCAAAATATGCCTCGGTATGATTTTGCAAATTTGCAAGTTTAGTTGGTAGGTACGTCAATGGCATTACATAATTATGTACGTAGAAATACAGGCAATCCAACAACTATTAATCCCATCTTTAACGAGGAAGAGGCTATGGCAATAGTAAATGCCATACCAAAAGTTCCACATGACGATGATGGTTTAATGGTTGGGGATGAGAACCCGCATATGGCATTAGTGCGAGTTCGCATACGAGACAAGTTAGTGTACATGCGTAATAACGGAATGCTAGGAAACATATAATATTCAACTAAAATATTCGTATGCTTGTAACATTATTAAGCCACGGTTGGGATATATGTGATTATATTATCCTATACAAATATGTATGTGTGTACACAAAAAATTGAAATTTGAATGATTTACGTGCCTTATTTTGTAAAATTATTGGGTTAGAGAAGGACAAATTTTGTTACGTATTAGTAATAATTAAACAGGATAGCACAATGGCAAACCGCAGTATTATGATTTGACGAATGTAACAGAAAAATTAAAAACAGTAAAAAAATTAAAATGGGCACGTAATATGTGGCCGTCAACTGAATTTTGGGTAAAAGGTAGGAGTATGATTTGTACCATTTTTTGTTTAACAAATTGGGTAAATGAGAGAAAAAGTAATTTTCCAAATTATTTTTACAAAAAATTTTAACCAAAAAAAAATAAAAATAAAAATGTTCCAACAAACGGTTACAATCGTTGACATAAATATTTTGAGATGTTTGCCTTTTTCTTTTTCTTTTTTTAAAAATGCCGAAATTATCGCTTTCCCGTAATTAAAAAAAAAACATAAAAAAGCATGCTAAACAAATAAGTAAATAAAAACCAAATTAATCGGCTGACGTGTCAGCCTCAACCCACCCGCCCAGCACTGGCCAACAGGTTGGGGGAACACCTTCACCCTAATGGCATTTGGGTAATTTCATATGTGGATACCTCACCAAAAAGTCAAAAAAGTAAAAAAAAACCTATCCTAAACCAAGCTTTTTAGCTCTAGGCTAAAATAGCCAAAAAATCAATCCACATCCCAAGCGAACCCTATATAATTAAGTCTCTATAAAAAATTGACACATATTATGTTATATTATTGTATGTCAAATTACAGGAGAATTTTAGTCGCCTCAAATACTTTTTGTCAAAAAATAGAGAAACAATAATGAGAAGAGCATCTACACTAATCTCGTCAAACTCATTTCTGACCAAAATATACAGCAAAAGCAAGCAAATGAACTTTCAAGAGCCTCCATCAGCCTTACTATGTATTTGCAAAATTTGTGATTGCTATATGTCGCTTGATGTAACAATACTAGTTCACAAGTTATACATTATTTTATTATTTTTTTTATCAAATGATCGATCACTCGGTCGACTACCCAAAGGTAAAACTAACAATTTTCACCAAGTAGTGGACCACCACAACTTTTTATTTTTTTGTCTTTTGAAGAATATGAAATTGATATATATACAATACAAATCCTATCACTCTAGATTTTTTTTTTTTTTTTTCTTTTGAGGAACGTTAAGATAAGATAAACAAAACCGCTGCTTGGCACAATTATTATTCACTTTGCTTAGTTTGAGTTTTCTAAAAATACTTTTCAGGAAATTTTACTTTCTTATTTTTCGTATTTTTTATTTTTATTGGATTTTTTTAATATTTTAAGCAATTTTTTTATAAAATTTTTAGACACACCTAACATAAATACACTTAAAAAATATAATTTTTGTAAAAAAAATCTTTAAAAAATTCACTAAATACCAAAAGTACAAAAAAAAAACGAAAATTCAATATATTTTTCATATTTTTGTATATTTATTAATTTTTTGAAATATTTTTTCACAAATATTTTATTTTTTAGATACATCTAAGTAAGATGTATCTAAAAAAGTATAAAAAAAAAATGCTTAAAATTTTAAAAATATTCATTAAAGACAAAAAAATATGAAAAACCAAAAATTCAATTTTCAAAAAACTAAAACCAAAACAGTGATTATTTTTTTTAAGGAATATGGCACTGTATATATGTAGATAAACAATACAAAATTAGCAACTTCTCCTACTGCTTTTTAACAATTCAAAATGAATATTTTATTTAATTTTGAAATAGAGAGTCTCATCTCATGTAGGTGTACATACAAAAAAATGTTAGATAAATAGAAAAAGTAGCTTTTGGGGATTAATTTAATTCAAAATTTGTTGAGCTTGATACTGATGCTCTAAAAGACAAAATAAGCTAAATTATCTAATAAAATAAAATGTGATATCCAACCCATAATTATTTCACTTTTGATCTCACAACCATCAAATCAACTTTAATAAAAAGCCAACTAACTTCCTAAACACAATTATTTTAGTCAATCTAAAATAGCCAAATAGCCAACTAAAATAATTAACTTCCCAAATAAGGCCATTATTTATTTTTGTTTTTCCATAAAAGGGTATTCAAGTAATTTACTTGACAAGAGAAGTCAGTGATATTTCAGAGAATAAAAAAGATTGAAAGTGTGATTCAAAGGAATTAAGGGGTGTCAGTTTAATTTACCCATTGCTTTTGTATTTCATTCTTTATTTACTTTGCGTTCAAAAGGGTGTTTGAGATTCGCTTTTCAGTAACTTTTTTGTTAATTTCCTGTCAAGTTTTCAAAAAAAATTAGATTTTTAGGTTTTACTTGACTAAATAAATAATAAAAAAAAGTAAAAAAATTGACCAAATTTTTTTTAAAACAAAAAAGAAAAAATTATGTGGATGCCAAATCAATGTGAAGCAAATAAAAGATATAAATGATTAACAATATGCCTTTTAAAGGTTGAATTTCTTTGAATTGTGACAATGTTTTTAAAGTCTTTTTGTTTAAATCATCTATAAAAAAAAAATATTAATAAGTTAATTGGATAATTGTAGCTATACAATTTTATTATATTTATTTTTAAAAAATAATAATTTATTTTTAAAATCATATTTATTATTTAGTTTTTCCAAGAGCTTAATAAAATTTGTATGATTCGATTATCAAATCATCCTTATTTTTTTTATAAAAATAATCTACATCATAAAAAATAAAAAAAAACATAAAAAAGCATGCTAAACATGGTCCCCATAGGCCAATTTGTGTTGACGTTTGGTATATCTATTTTTTGGAACTCAGCCGATCATGAAAGGACTTTAAATATTGGAAAATTTTCACCGCAGTGGTTGTTTAAAAAATTATTTTGAAATTAATAATAAATTTTACATACATTAAAAAGCAAATTCATATACTTCTTCTTGACATTGTAATTAATTTTTTAAAAACTCAGTAATTTCTCCTTAAATATTTTGTATATTCCTATTTTTTTACTGTAATAAAGAGCATGCCGACCTCAAAAAGTGAACTAGTTTATTCAAACTTGTTTTTGGTCATAATTGTAAAATCAAAGCAAAAGGACAAATATTCATCTAAGATCCAACCCTTGGCTGGTTGTTTTTTTATTTTTTATTTTTTTATTTTATTTTATATATATATAACTAAAGATAAGATCTGACCCTTGGCTAACCTGCAATTCTAAAATCAAACCAAGACTATGCATATATATATATATATATATACACACATCTATACACACATGTTTTATAACATCTAGAAAATCAAGAAAAAATAATAAAAATTCAAGGTTTGGTTAGAGAGGTAATAGAACTTACAGCCCAGTAATGTTCATTGCTAATGTTCCACCCTCCTGTATATTTCTTGAACCCATTAAGAGGGTCTTTCCTCTCTGTCCTCTTTGCAGCCAAAACCAGAGATGATGATGATGATGAATTCAGAGGAGATATAATGAGTCCCTCCTCAAGAAATCTTTTGCTCCCCCAAAAAACCACCTCACCATGCTCTTCCCCTGAAAAATAGAAAAATAAGAAAATGGGTGTGAAAAACAAAATTCCAAAAAATATACTATATATATAGCAGCTAAATTTCCAGTGTTACCTGAAGTGGGTAGTGTTTGGAAGGTGGGAAAGTCAAGCTCTCCCTGTGAGAAGGTAAAGAGAAAGGTGGTAGTGGTAAGAAGAGAAAACAACAGTGACTTGTAACATGACATTGTGTGATTTCTAGGCTTCTAAGCTCTGTTTCTCTTCAATGGGTTGTACTGAGCTGAACAACTTAACTCTTTAGCAGAGAGAGAGAGAGAGAGAAATGTGCGGTTGGGTTTTTTTTTTTAAAGATTGATAACAGTTGTGAGATTGGGTTTAACTGTTGGAGAAAAGGTTTGGTGTTAGTGGTGCAATTATTGACCCAACCCCATGATTAGGGGATGAAAGTTCAAATTCTAAGTTTCAAAATGTTAATAATTTCTATTACTATAAATATCTCTTAAGTTTCTAAAAGATAATCATGCTTTCAAGTTTCAACATCTGTTTTTGTGTTTTTTTTTTCTTCTAAAAATAGAAACTTTATCCACAAAAATAAGGGAATTTTTTTTTTTAAATTCTTGATATTAAAATTTTATAAGATAAATGAAATATAATTATTTTATAATAGTTGGGGTCCCTCAATATTTTCACAGAAAAAATTCAATTCGGACAAATTTATGCTCGGCTCAGAGAAATTTCGACCCTAACATAGAAATTTTTTAATTTTTACTGAAAAATTTCTCTGATTTCACAAAAAAAATTTATCGAAAGATCTTAGTTAATAAAAAAATATATCTTGCATCTCTCCAACTACACAAAGTTTGAGAGGGATATTTCACTAATTTTTTTTTAAAAAAATAAACAATTAAAAAATTCAAATATTCAAAATTTATTTCCGCTTCAGAAACGTAAAAATTCTACAAATTGAATGTAATTGGTAAATATGATGAGGTTTGTCACTTTTTGTTTACTAAAATAGATCAAATCACTTAAATTTGTTTTGACGTTTAATATTTTGTATCTCCTTTATTGATGAGATTTGGAAGTGCTAAATTAGTTCTTATATTACCATTAAGCATATAACCACTTGATTTTTTTCTCATACCATCCATTTTATATATAATTTTTTCAAATGATGTTCTAAAAAATATAAAAAATATTATACAAATTAATAATTTTTTACCAATCTATGACATGAAATAAATAATTAGAATATGAAATCAGACTCACTCACTGTAATATTACTACAACACATATCACATCAATATTAATAATAACAATTTTTCATTTTTGAATTAATAGGATCTAAAACTATCACACCATTGTGAATAAAAAATTATATAAATTTCTATTTATAGTATCACTTTTTTTAAAAAATATTACTCATATTATTTTGATGAAATTTTGAGGATACAACTTTTGTTTACCCAAAAGGTTGTTTTAAATAGTTAGTTAAATTGTTTTTAAAAATATATATATAAAAAATAATAATAATATGACCCCTCTATTCAAAAGAGCCTTTATTTTAATGTTTTTTTTTTTAAAAATTCTGAGTAATTTGAGAAGTTAGTAAAAAGTTAATTTTTTTATTTTTTAATTTTTTTACATAAAAAAGTCACAAAATGTTAATTTTTTTCGGTGGTGTTACATACACCAATTATAATTTAAAAAGTTAGTAAAAAGTTAATTTTTTTATTTTTTAGTTTTTTTACATAAAAAAGTCACAAAATGTTAATTTTTTTCGGTGGTGTTACATACACCAATTAATATATACATTAATGTACCAACTAGTATTATGATATTATTATTGAACACAGTTATTATACAAGTTACAAATATCTAAAGCTATACAAATGATATCACATCATCTGTTACATTAATTAGTACATATAGCACTATTTAATTATTTTAGCCAAAAAAGTCATCAAAAAGTCAAAAAAACTAATTTTTTACCAATTTTTTAAAACACCACTCATAATAATGGGGTCTTTGGGGAAGCAAAAAAAATTAATTTTTAATTTTTTATCCATTTTAAATCACATTATCTCTCATATTTTTTACCTATAAAAAAATAAAATATATTAAAAAAATCAAAAAAATAATTTGTTACCTACTTTCTAAAACACCACAATGTGCACAATAAAGCAAAGCACAGGGAAGCAGATAGTCATGGGTGGACCCCAAGTAAAACGGTAGTTTTTCAACGCTGTCTGAATTTAGGCCATTATTGATGGAATCCTGTCTGATCTCGAAATTCAAAAAAAAAAAAATTTAATGTGTTTGGATTGAATTTTCTGAATTAAATTTTTTAAAAATTAAATTTTTTAATTTTTTAATTTTTAGTGAATATTTTTAAAATTTAAAAAAAAATTATTTTTTTAGATACACCTTACTTAGATGTATTTAAAAAGTAAAAAAATTGTGAAAACATATTTTAAAAAATTAATAAATATATAAAAATACAAAAAATGTATAGAATTCTTGTATTTTTTTTTTATATTTTTGATATTTAGTGAATTTTTAAAAGATTTTTTTTATAATTTTTTTACTTTTTAAGTGTATTTATGTTAGATGTGTCTAAAAAGTAAAAAAAAATTACTTAAAATATTAAAAAAATTCAGTAAAAATAAAAAAATACAAAAAATAAGAAAGTATAATTTTTTAAAAATTATTTTTGTGAAAAGTAGAAACAAGCAAAGTTTTTTTTTATATAGTAATTTTGTATATTTAGGCCAAGTTTGGCATACTCGAAAAAAGACAAAAAGTCAAAAAATCACTATTCTATTTAAGTCACATTATCTTATTTAAGTCACATCACATCTCTAACACATCACTTCAAATCTAATCCAAACTCAACCTATATTTCATATAAAGTCAAAAAACGCACTTATTTAAATCATCTCAAACAACTCCTTATTATTATTTTTACTTTAGACAACAAGAATAAAAGCAAATTGATTTTTGTAATCTTTTTATCTTTATTGATTTTTTAAAAAAATTCTTCAAAAATATATCTTTATTGATTTTTTAAAAAAATTCTTCAAAAATATATCTTTTTAAAATTAAAAAATGACTAAAACATTTTTTTTATTAAAGCCAAAAAATAAAAAAAACTCAAAATTTTTTTCAAAAACTAAACAAAACATTTCACACTAGCTATTAATTTTTAATTTTTTTTTAAGCATCAGTATAAATGTAAGAAAATGTTAACCAGATCAAACTAAATCAAATCAAATCAAATCAAACCAAGTCTTAAGTCCAGTTAAATGAGAAAATGTAAGAAAATGTTATGTAAATTTAAAAAATTTACGAATGTGAGGATTAAATATTTTATTTATCTTTTTATATCTTATTCTTATCTTATCTCAAACTAAACAAACATAATAAAAATAATCATATAAAATGTAAGTTCATTATGTTCAATCCTTTATCTAATCTCCTTCCTCATTCTTACCACATTTCATATTATCCAAATGTCTCTAAATTAATTCAACAATCAATGGTCTATTGTTGTTATTATTAAAAAAAATGAACTCCCATTTCCCACCTTGCAAATTCGTTTTTTAAATTCAATAGTAAATACATATCTATTATATAAGATTGCAAAACCTTAGCAAATGCTAAAAATAAAACCTCCATTCATTTTTATTATGTTTTTTAAATTTTGATATTAAAAAAAAATGACGTATGTCATGATATGTTATAATATTATTAGTCCAAAAATAAATATTTATGCAATTATCATAAATACTAATCATTTAAATTGAATATTCTTCAAGTTTTACCTTTAATAATGGAATGAGACATAAATTGCTGTGTGAGTGATTTTTCGATCACACTACCCAACTCAGTATTCAGCTGGAGAACATTGGCAGAATAGATGACACCTGGCTAACCTGTAACAGAAAGAGAAGATTCCGGAGGTGGTTCGTCCACCCGGGGCTCTCTGATGATCAAGTCAGTATATCTCTCAAAGATAAATCAAGTGCTAAACTCACAAGCTTGAGTATCAAAAGCATACCTTAGACCCATGGGGTGACTCTTTTTTATAGCCAACATAAACCTAGTCCCAATAGAAGCCTAACTTCTATGGACTCAGGATTACTGCTAATCTTGGACTCCTAGTAAGATTAGGATAAACTCTCTAAGAGTCTCATCTTTACCCAAACTGAAGTCTTCTCCCATTCTAGGACTCTTGCCCCTCATCCGCTTATCTCGGATTCTGATATCTTCGGAGGTATCCTCGGCCTATCCGAGATGACCTCGGCATAACAACCAGGACACGCGGCACCTCGGCTGACACGTCGGCGTCACCTTGGCCACGTGTTGGTACTCAGAAAATATATCCCCACAACTACCAATAAATTTAATTATCAAAGTTAATAGTGTTGTTGACACCACAAATTAATTTCTGTCTATTATGACCCGTTAATCGACCAAGCCTTCCAAGCCGCTTGAAATCGCACCTCCTAGCCGAGGTTCTGGTTCCATTAATTCGTAAACTCCAAGAGCTTTGCAACTGCTCCACTCACACTTTCTAGTGAGTTCCCGATTTCTAGTCATCTATTTGACTCCGGCGATTTTCATATCGGCGTTCATTTCACTTTGTAGGTTCATAAACTCTTTACTTGCTATTAAGCTCAATCTTTCATAACTCTTCTGAATCTGTTTACTTGCCATCTGTTGCCTTCTATTTTCGTCTGTCTTCAAGTTTTGAATTGTTTGAATGCCTGGCACTGTTCTTGTCATATCCGCTTTCTGTTGCTAGCATCGTGTCTGGGTCATTACTTTCTTGTTCTTCACATACTTACTTAGTGCCTGTGCACTTGGCTTTATTCTTGAACTTTGTCGTCTTCTTGACTCTGATTTTTCTCTTTTTTCATTCAATCCTCTGGCTTTTTCTCTTTCTAGCTTTTTTGCTTAAATCCGTCATTGTTCCAAGCTTTCAAGCTCTGTAACTATTTTCGTTTCTCTCCTCCAGTGAAGCTTATGTCATTCTGTCATTTTCGCATCCGTCGTCAGACTTTGACAATTCTCATTCCGGCTTCCCTCTTTCTGGTAAGCCATTGTTCCTCCTGGTTTTATTTCTTGTTGCTTTCCAAGAAGCTCTACTTCATTGTTAATCACCATTGCTGTTTTACCCTTTGTTTCCAAATCATCTTCTTGAATACACACTGTTCACACATCTGTTGATTTCTGCCACTGTTCTTGGCTTGACACACCTGTGCAATCTTTTTGTCTTGATTTCCTGATAGCTTCATCACCATTCTTGATTACGAATAACATTATTGTTTCTGTTTTCTATGTCTTTTTCC